TGGTGCTGTGTGAATAGTTCTGGCATATTAATATTATTAAATCGTACTTTACAAAACAAGCTGCTTGGCGGCTGAACTAGAGACAGAGGTAGCTGCGCAGATGACTTTGTACTATGTCAACCTCGGTAAAATAGTCTGAGTAACTCCTGGCTTGTACACGGTCATCCGCTACAAATTGCTTTTGGAGGTTTATAACCTACATTTTTTTCTCAATCGTCCATGACCACTTGCAGTCAGGTGGTCCAAACCGAGCCTTTGACCTTTAATGTAAAAAATGGACTACTGGCATTTTGAAGAGACCGACACGTCTTCAATTTGCCAATAAGTCTGTAGAAGCGATGCTCAAAAACAGGTAGGGAAATAGGTCGAATGAATTTAAAATATGGTTGCCGCATGTTAATTACTTTATTTCCATTTTAATTATCAGCTCAACTTTTACTTAAATATAGATAGATCAGAGTTAAAAACTGATACAAATACAAAATTACGGGTAGCTTTGAACAACGAACGAGAGAGAGAGAGAGAGAATGAGCAACGAACTCTACATAAAGCAACAAAGCATTTACAGCTACATATGACAGCCTCGGAGGTCTAGTGGTTTAGCACACCGCTTTACTTCCGCTGGTTGCGGGTTCTTACGATGTTTTTATCAATGTTTATACAAGACGTAATATAAACATACTAAGAATATCATTTTTTTATTATTATTATTATTGAAATATAAGTTTACCTTCGAGATCACTAAAAAAATGTTTTTATCAATGAACAAACAAGACGTAATTGATACATACTAAGAATATCATTAGATATACTCAATTTTACATAAATTTTAATACCTCGACATTACACGGGACCCGCTAGGGGCTTGGAACACACAGATCTCAGTCATACGATCCCCGTTTAAATTGGACGGGGGATCGATCGGAAGGGTCATGTATAAAAGCGATAGTTGCAGTTTCAATTCTAGTCACATAAAGAACTGGTAACCAAATTTTTGATACCGATAAAAATTGAATACTTATACGATACGATAAATATTGAGTTATTTTAGTGTATCAACCCTATAAATACTCTATGCGTTGTGGTTGGTTAAAAAAGCTTCATCAAATAATGTCAAGATGAACACCCTGTCACATTAATATACAGTGATGAGTCAAACTGACCAAACCTTTAATCGACTTGTTACTGTGAGGCAATAAAAAATTAACTGACAGAATGTCAATTAACATGAACTGAACAGGTGGCGATGTGTGGGGGATACCACAGGCGACGCTGTCTTTTATGATTAATTAAATTATTTATTAATACTTTGCACAAACACAAAAATAAAGGTGCATATGGCTTAACAAGACTTAACACCATAAGGCATTTTCTCCGGACGCCGGACTCAACCATAGGGCAAAAGGAGATTAGTGGAGGATCCATGAATGTGTCATTATACATGTGTCGCCTATATACATGAAAAGCATCACGGGTGTCGCAAATTTTTGATCATAAACAGTGATGAATACTATTGTGTAATATTTTAGTGATTAAAACGTTACTAAAATGGTATAACATTAATTGCTTAATTTGTTATAGACATAAAATTGTCCAACTATAAAAAACACACACAATTATATTATATATAGTATTTATGTGTATATTTTAAATATATATTATATTTATATAATACAATATAATAATGTCAGAATTTTTAGTCATTACTGCCCCACAATGCTTTCTATTTACAGCTGAAGGTTAGCTGGTAATAGACTGTCATATGGCATTAAGCTCGTCTGTTGTAGACATTTTATTATACAGTAAAAAATATACATTAATTTGTTAAAAATGCTGAAACTATAGAAAGGCTATAAAAGACAGGATATTGCTTATAAGGTAATATCCTAAGTGTAGTAAAGTATAATGCAGTAGTTACCAAACATTACGAATACACTTAAATCAATAAATTTTTTATACTGAATTGAGTTTCTTTACAATGAGGAGGTTATAACAATTTTTAATTGAAATCTGTTTTTCTATATAACAGTTTAGATTATTTACTCTTTTATAAATATAATCAAATTCAAATTAAAAATATCTTTATTCATGTAGATATATTACAGACTCTTATGATATGTCAAATCTACCATCAGTTCGGAATGTCAAATTAATATTATACATGTTTACAATACAAATGTTTTTGTATATAACAGTTTATGAATTATTTAGCCATGACATCGTATAAATATAATCAAATATATAATTTCAATAATATCTTTTTAAAAGTCTCGTGTTAGTCCCGAAAAAATAAGTCCTACCGTTTCAGAGACTAAAGAACCATTTCAATTAGCAAGAACAAACAGAGAGACATACATGTAGGTATGTATATGTATGGTACGCATCTGTGGTAACATGGATGTCATATGATAACGTGATGTCCATAGGGCTTATCATAAGCGATGGTTACCGCCTACAAAGCTCTCTTTCGGTTCTAGACAGTAATATAAGATAAGAGGCATGACATCTTAGTCAGATGTCATGGCTATTATCGTGTTGGTATGTACATGTGTGGCACGCATGTATAGTATCACGGATATACATGATAACGTGATGTCTGTAGGACTATTACCGCTGCCACATACCGGCGACGGTTACCGCTTACAAAGCTCTGATTCTGTACTACACTGCGATTAGGCAGTGATACAAGATAATAGGAATGGCATCTTAGTCAGATGAAATGTCTGTATATGTATGATACGCATGCGTGTCACGTTATAATGTGATATCTGTAGGGTTATTCATAGGCGACAGTTGCCGTTATCAGGTGGGCCGTCAGCTTGTTTGTAATTTCAGTTACATAACAAAATGCACCTTTTTTATATAGCTTTTGACAATAGAACCATAGTAATTAGTTCAACTTATTTAAATGTATTATAACCAGATCGACCACTGAGCGACCGCTAGTAAATATGATTATTTCTCTGTATAATCACCGATTGAAGGCAATTTCATAACCGGCTGGTTGGGTCGCAACCGGTATGTGACAAACTGGCCGTCCGGTTCGATGTCTACTATTTTATTTTGTGATGTCATTTAAGGTGTTTACGGTTTAGGCACATGGCTCAATTATGAATATATAATCAATTATTTTTAACTTGTGTTTACATGAATTTCTTGTGATTATATTTCAAGGTTTAGGTTAGGTAGTCGATTCAACTTGATAATCTTTAATACGTTACAAATAAGGTACGGCCTCGATGGTCTAGTGGTAAAGCATACTGATATACTTCCGATGGTTTAGGATTCGACTCCTCGCACGTTACAAACATTTATATTCATGAGTATGATTGTTTGTATCGGTCTGGGTGTTTTCTATGTATAATATGTATGTATTTACAAAAAAAAATATCTATGTATTTGTATTAGTTATCTAGTACAACACAAGCTTTACACAAGCTGTTAGTTGAGATTATTATTACTATTATTATAGGGTGTAGATTCTTTAGGAGGGGTGTGTGAATATATAAAAAATCTATTTAATTATCATTATTATTATTATTATTATTATATCTTTTTAAATGATAGCCTAATCCTTATCCTAATCTATAAGCTATATTACTGTAAAGTGTCATTAAAATCCGTTCAGCAGTTTTGGCGTGAAAGAGTAACAAACATCCATACTCAGAAACTTTCGCGTTTATAATATTATTATTATTTTTTCATATATGATGATATATGTAGTGTTAACTACAATAGGGCCTCGCTTCACTTTCCGTCTATCGCTTTTATGAAAGTACCGCCAATAGTGTATAGCGGCTTCTTTTATTGTGTATTAATTAGCATACACTTAATTACAGATGTCCGATTGCAGGTGTTATACTTGACTGACTAATCAAGTTTTTATAACATTATACACCGCAACCGTAATTACTAATTAATATGTTTATAACTCGAGCAAAAACTTTATGTAACATGTTCAATAGATCAGTATTATAATATTTTAAAACAACTCCTGTCTCATCCGACAAGATATTTACATTAAATTTGAATATATAAAATATGGTTAAAAGAAAGAAAACATGTTTGTGGTACAGTCAGGGTCCTATTATAGATCTTGGCTTCAATGATGGTTATGATAATGTAATGGAGAACAAGCTGACGGCCCACCAGATGGAAGGTGGTAATCGTTGCGTTTATATATATATATATATATACTCATTATCAAGGGTCATCATATATCGTCCTATAGGTTCACTATCAATTGTTAATCTTCAAATTGTAGGCAAGCTACTTAACACCAGAATAAGGTGAGACAGAACTACCTAATCAGTTTTAGTGAGACATGTGTCATCTTTCTACATGTTCAAAGCAATATCTCTGATCATCTTGAAAAGATGACACAATTATTTTAATTTCATATTAAGATAAAATTGAAACCCTGGATTTATTTATGAAACCAACTGTATCCCATACGAGTATAGATCTCGTTGTTGTCAACCGTTACCGTACCGTCAACTGAATTAAAAAAGATTAAAAGATCTCCTAAAATCGATGGCATTTGTTTAGTGTATGTCATGCAATATTTTCGCAAATTCAAATCAAGTATATAAAGTTGATGTTTTGTCTATGTTGCACTTGCCCTGGCCACAAACTGACGACTTAAGACCCGATTAACTATGTGCACAGATAAATTAATTTTACATTTGAACGCGAAAGTTTAAAAATGTGTAATAGAAAACAAATTTTATATCCATAGTTATAAAAATAAAATATAACGCCTATCTTATGAAAGTACATCATTCAGCATGTTTTGCTAATTCTTTTTTGACTGAAATTACAAACTTCAAATCAACACATTTTTTTTAATTATTTCAATATTACTAGTACATAAGTAGATGTTGTTATATTACTTTGATTGCACAATACAATATTAGTCACAGTTCTTACATCAGTACGCCTATGGCAGGCATGGAACAGTAGGTAGTTTAGCATACATATATAAAATATGATAATTTTACCTTAGTATTGAGCGTGTGTGTTGAGAGGAATGAGCAGAGAAGAACAACCGTCGACAACCAGTGAACCGACACACATTGTGTCGACTCCATATTGCCTGAAAAGAAACAACTATATTATATATTGATTCTTGAAAATTGTATCTTTTTAAGTATTATTTATGTAACTGTAATTATAAACTCTTTGACGGTCCACCTGATGGTAATCTATCTATATATATAGACGACGTTTGCATGACAATGACTATCAGGATAGAACACCACTTGCCCATCATGTGCTGCCATTGCGGAGGACTAATACCTTATAGGGGATTTCATGTCTTTATACCTCGTTATATCACTGCCTTTATCTCACACATCAACCACAATACAACTTACAAAGCAAGCCTCATGAAATATAAAATTATTTACTTTTTATCCATTAATATGAAAATATTTTGGAATTACCAAATGGATTAGAGCTTATTAACATATTGAATATAAAATCTGGACATCCGTCCTTTTGTTTGTTTTTTTAATAATAAATTTCATTAAGAGTCAAGACGACTCTTGTTTGTATTTATTTAATATCTATGTAGAAGTATAAGTTAGGTATTAAGTGCAATAAAGACTATATTTATTTATTAACTTATATTCATAACTGTTATTCCAGTTTAAATAGTCAGGCATTATCAATTTCGACATCATAGTGAACACAACACCTGTGCCTACATTTTATTTATGTATATATATTATTATTAATATTTATTTATTTATTCTGTATTCTATATACTTGTTTACATTATATATTACACACAAATTATTTTTAAGTTTATATTAATATCCAGCATGCCTGGCAACACCGAAAAAATAGACAACTATAGTCCTTTGCCGACCCGAGTTGACCATAAAGAAATAAAAAGCGAGTGCCGGGGTCGACGCACTGGCTGCAAAAGTACAATGTCTCTTCCCAGAAGAAGGCAGTACGAAATAAGTACGAATATAAACATGCGTGCATTTCCGTGTTCGACCGGTTGTAAGGAACACTGGTCGAAATAGGCATTGATACGCCTGTAAATAACGTGGCTCGAAAGTAAATCATCGGCTAAAGATGGCCGTATTTTTATCTCACTGACGAAATTATTTATTTATTTATTTACAAACAATGACTGTATCCGACCTTGTTATTAGCCTTATTTCCAGACATAAGGAAATTAAACTACTATCATAGTTAAAGTCTACCAGAGCTAGACTTAGAAAATCATCTGCATGGGGTAAACTTGACTCAACATTTTTTTAATAGGTGATATTGCAAGGCGCTCATGCTTGCAATAGTTAACGTGTTAAGGTTCACGCTGGGTACCAGTGGAGGATTATAAGAACATAAGGTCAGATCTGTTAGCCCATCGTGACATATTCACTAGGAATTTATCACTATAGTTTGCAGGAGGAATCGCGTAGAATTCAATCTGAAATGACATAACACATGGAGTCAAGAGTCCACATTACTATCAATCCCCTTTTCCCCCTATCTCACTTATTTCAATCGCTAAGCAGGTTGCTTTGTAAGTTGTATTAATTGGAGGATGAGATAGCATTAAAATGATAGGGCACTGAGGAATTGCAACTTAGTCCTCCGGAGCACATGGGTGATACTTCGGGTATTCTTCTATTTAAGTTTGTATACGGATACGTACTATTCAAGTTTATAGGCAACGGGTACCACTTACCATCAAGTGGGTACATTACCTTATCATTACCTTTTTCCCATTTCAATTATATAAAAAAGAGTAGACAGTACAAATGAAACTAAAAAATGTACACAAATTTGTACACAAAAATATTGTTACTGTGATGTAAATATAATATATCGAGTAAGTACTAAATCCATTTGTTTAAAATTTTGTACATTTTAATTGAGAACTAACAACATTTCAAGTTTATATATACTATTATACATATACTATATCTAATGTAATTATATAAATAAAAAAAAAACAGTAATAGCTTTTAATTTTCTTTGCAAAACGGTCTCAATATTTGAAAATGAAATCGCTATTATACAGCTTAATAGCAATATAATATTATTATTATAATATTTCATGTAAATTGTATAAAGTACCTAAATATATTATACATATAAAAAAAATATATAACTTCTTTTATTTTTTTTTATTTTTAAAGTCAAGCATCAAACGAAAAGAAAAGGTTTATTTATAAATCCCAAAACCAGTTCTTTTATGATACATAGTACATCGATGTAATTTGAAAAATAAAAATAAAACATTTGTTTACCGCAACTTTAGTACAACTTTGTTGACATCGTAAACTGATATCTCGAAGGGTATCGATTTTATATAAATAAAGAACACAACACACAAGCAGTGATACCAGAGAGGGGATATTTCCCCAATTTTTTTGAGATTTTTGGTTATGGGAGAAGAAATGTGTGGGGGCTTATTAGCGTCCATGTATGTTCGGTATAGATAGTCTTCAATTTCCTAAACTTGTCAAAGCGACCTAAAATCATTAGTTTATATATTGTATATAGTGAATTGAGGTATCAAAAAAGACAGACCCAGAAAAGGTGGTCATAATACGGACTCTTTTTGAGTCAATGGTAAGGAAGATATTGGGAAAAATTTTAGGGTAAATCCAGTTAATATTCAGTTATTCATCTGGCAACATTGGATATAAGAAACTACCTTCGACATATACCGCTTTTATGACATAATAAAATCTTTAACATATTACAAGTACATTTTGTTATACAAAAAAAAAACAAATCAATAACCAAACGTGACAAATTTTTACAGCACCGACGTGGGAGATGAGCCTATCGATTACAAAAAAACGTTGAAATCGTTCATCAATCCAAAGAATAACACGTTCTACAATTCCGGTCAGATCAATTATGACGGCCTCGGTGGTCTAGTGATTTAGCACACAGCCTTATTTCCGATGGTCGCGGATTCGAGTCTTCGCACGGCACAAACATTTATATTCATAAGTATGATTGTTTGTATCGGTCTGGATGTTTTTTTTATGTATAATATGTATTTATTTACGAAAAAATATATCTATGTATTTGTATCAGTTATCTAGTACCCATAACACAAGCTTTAGCTAACATAATTTGGGTCTAGATGGCACTGTGTGAATTGTCCTGATATTATTACTATTAATTATATATATATATATAAACGTAATCGAAACCTAATATAAATCTCCTGCCGTTTAACGATGACCTCCACGTTGTTCCCCTGGAAACCATCGTAATAAATTCCTGGTGAATTTACCACGATGGGCTAACTGATCTGACCGCATGTTCATCTTATGATTCTCCACTGGTGCCCTGCGAACATAAACCGTAAGCGTAGGCGGGTGCACCATTCCATAATCATCGATAAGAAAAAATGCCTTGTTCAGTCGGCCTTACTTAGCATGCTATCGGAAGAGGCGATCGGTAGGATAGCAATTAGCATTTGAAACTGTGGAGAGGCAAGCGGCTAAAAAAATACCTCAACTAATTGGACACTGGTTGTTTATTTTTTTGCATCAGCCCTAAAAATCACACTAGCTGTATACCATTGCGTTATTCTCATGAATCTATATTAAAAGTACCCTGTATGTGAATATGCAATATAATGTATTTCAACTCGAACTGTAGTTTTACAGGAAATAGTAACTAACATCCATTTAGCAATTTATTTGTTTAAACTATTCACACATAAATTTGTTAAGATTTTTAAAAATATACTTGACTAGCTGTGCCCGCGTTTTCACCCGCATGAAATGAAATGTGTATGTATAATTGCCTTTGTTTTTTTAATGTATAAGCTTTATTTCTGTAAAGTTTCATCAAAATCCATTTGCGTTTATAATATTAGTAAGATTGATAACATATCATTGTCTGTACGTTATAGGCATTAAAAATATGCATTATTAGATCAATATAGTTTTATTAGAGCAACAGAAGCCAACACGAGGTTTTTATGTGTATACACGCATCACGCAAAAACTACTTAATGGAAATTAATAAAAATCTCACTGATGTATTGCTAATAGTGTAACTTATAATAGAGACTCCATGATATTGTTTTAAACCCGTTTATTCCGCTAGTAGAGCAGTAAACGAACAATTATAAAACGTACAATGGACTCTCAGAATATTTTTAAAATTGTGTTCAAATAATCTTCTTCAGTACGTAATATTTTATCATCTTGTATTATACGAAATTTTACACGAATTTCAGACATAACAAACAAAAGAAACTGACAACATTACAAAATTTATTGCATCTACTGAGCGTGCGAACTAACTGCTTGCGAAACGAACAACGTCCGATTTTGCGAAATGACCAATTTTAATATTGCGATGCGAGCTATGAAGAGCAATACAATAATCATGTCCATCTTTATTTTTATAATGTCACATACTTCACTTTATGACTCTAAAATGGTTCGGTTTACACGTAATTGAGGCTATAGACCATTAAAATAATCATTCTTACTAATAATTGCCGAAATAATAATATTGAGCAATGTCTTTACTGCAATGCTTATATGTAGTATTATGGGATTCACTTGGGTATACTCCTTTCAGTATATGAAATATATTCTTTTATTTTAGAAAGATTAACAGTGTTATCACACTGAATTGTTCTTGAAATTATTTATACACATAACCTAAATTTTAAGTTTTGTTTAGGGTCGCCAACGAGCACGTTACACCCCTGGTATCTCAGGCGTCTATAGGCGGTAACCATTTACCATCAAATAGGCCGTATGCTTGTTTGCCACCTTCATGTTATACTTTCGATGGATGTATAACTATAAATATACTAATTCGAGTACAAACCCACAACTCTTGTACATAGTATGCCGGAGTAAGCTGCCTCACCAAGCTTGCTTTGTAAACTTTGTTTCAGTTGAAATGTTAGAAATGGCAATGAAATTACAGAATAAGGTAATTTTCCGTCCTATAGTGTTGGAAAGCCCATTTATCTAGGTAGGATATAGGCTACACAATAATACACCACTACCAAGAGCGGGGCTACAAAAAGAAATGCAAAAAAACGGCTATGAACACAATATGCAGATAGAGAAATTATCCATT